GACTCAAATTTCTTGGTCAAACAAAATTTACTTGTTAGATACTACAAACTATACATGGGTTGATAAATTTGAAGCTGTTTCTAATGATAAAAAATCTGATACTGATTCTAATTCTGAAGTTATTCCGATAGTAATACATGCAATTAGTTTTATATGCATAATTTTAGGTGTCGCAATTATTATGATAATTGTAATACTCTATAAACGGTACAAAAAGCGAAAACAAAATGAAAATACGAACAATTAAATGTTTATTATTTTAATTTATACATTTAAGTTTTTTTGCTTTAAAATATGCAATGCAAAAAATGCTAATAAAAAATCAGACAAGTAAGCTATTATCACATGTTTATGTATATTTAATTTTTTTATTAAAATCATTGCTATTTGAAGTTTAGTTTAAGGAAGTCTATGTATAAAATTAAAATTGAAATCACTCGATTTGAGTAACCATATAGATATGAAAATGTATGTCCGGAATTTCGATCCTATAATTCGTCCAGAACATTTTGGATAATTATTTTTATGTTTCATATACGTTTTATTATATCTCGTGACTGATATTTAATATATATTTTTTTTGAATATAAAACGGATTATCTTATTGCATTAACAAAATATTTAAAAAGAATTTCATAGCATAAATTAAATTTATGCAACGAAATAAATATTTCTTAAATTTTGAATGATATTAGATGTCAATCTTCTATACCTAGATTAAGTATTATTGTAAAAACTAAAAATGCAGAAAACCACTCACTATTACCTTACTGGTATTTCAGTTATAACTTGTATGCATGAAAATTTTGAACCAATTTTATCAGTACTAGTATATTAAAAATCATTATTACTTGTTATTTCGTATACTGATCATTTATAACAAGAATTCTAATTGTCTTAAAACTCGCGGTACCTAATATTCCGACTAATGTACAATTAAAACGTCATTGGTTATTTGGTGAAACCGAAGTAGTTGTAATTAAAGTTGTTGAGAAATACTTTCAGGTACAAATTTATCAACCCAACAAATAATTTTAGCAAATCAATTTTGGAACCGGAGTCACGTGACCATTGTACTGCCATGCTGAAAATATCGAAAATATTAGAATACAAATCAAATTTAATTTCTTATTTTTTTTTCAAATCTCTCTCTTTATATCTTTTCTAAATTACTTTCACTCATATTATTTTAAGGATATATTTGCCAAAGATGACACGATTAACCATCTTTACATTTTTTTGAAATTGAAATTTTTAAGTCCTATTAATTCGTCATCTTAACATTCCGGGCGTGCAATTTATATCTATCATGTATCTTATAAATAATAATAATAATTTAGTAAAAAATTATTATCACAAGACGATAAAATTCAAGATCGGTGATGATATGGCCTTTCCATTTTATAGTGCTGCTGCTACTAAATCCCGTGATGTTGCTACGCTCTACAATAGCATTTTTAATAAACGTATTAAAGTAAGGATAGTAAAATAAAATAGATCACATACTTATGATTGAAAGGTAATTATTTCTAGTATAATCAATATTTCCAAAAGAATGTAAATATATTCGAAGAGAATTTTATTTAGACTTAATTGAATATCTCCCACTAAAGTTTAATTCGGAATATTGCTAGCCAGTCAAATGACCTACAGCGAAGAATTTAAAGATTCAGATGTTGTAAACCAAATGCATTAATGTCTGAAATGCGAATTTGGATTACAACTATAATGTTTTTGCTACGCATTATACTAAAATAAACAGTTCCTGCATTAAAAGCAATAAAATTTCCATATTAATTTCTTTATTATACATAAATTTTTGAATCACAATTAATAAAAACTTTACTATATAAAAAGCGGGATCCACCATTTGATTTACAACATGAATTTGATAACTCCCCTATGTTATAGTGGTATTGTATAAATGATTCTTTGCCAAAAGGTCAATATCATATTACACAACTAACTACTAAGCTTTTTTCAATTACTGTCTAGGTTTCACACCCTCGTAATTTTAAAATCAATTTACAACTTTAACGGTAAATTTTCATAGCGATGTGAATTATTACTTCATCTCAAAGTTTTAAATTTAATTAATATGAAGTAAAAATTAAAAGTGGGCTTCTTTTATTAGTTCTTTTCTTACGGGAATTTCTGAATGGATGATATCAATTAAAAAGCTTTCAAGTGTATTAGAGATAAAAGGATTACAAAGATTAAAAATGTGCAGTTGTTGTTTTACAAATAAATTAAAGATAATTAATATAAAATAAAGGGCGAACATTTTTGGACTTACCAAACATCATTTGATGTAAAAGAAATATTGAAAGGAAGATGTTGTAATATAAATTAGATAATGAAGTACGAAGGAATGAAGATCAAGAAAAGGCTGAGAGAATAGAAAATTTGAAAAAAGAAAAGGGAATTTAAAAGAAAGGAATTTTAGAGAGAATGAGCTAGCAAGTTAAAGGATACTTTGGTGAACAGCCATTACTTCCTCCATATGATGGTTCAACCATAAAATAAGCCCAATTATAAACTAGTGTAAAAGACACGACAACTAATATTGAGGCATCTGTAAGAATCAGAAACCACAAATTCGATCGCAAAGCCAATGAAATCAGGGCCATCGTTTATCTGATTCTTTAGAAATCCAACATCATTTTTATAACCTCTACGGAGATAAATCACCAGATATCGAAAGTTAGTTAAAGTCAATTTTAAAGAAATACAGCGTGTGATTTTAATCAACTATACCTACGGCTTGGTAACCAACCTTGTTTCGTATGGAATTGGAAATTCGAAATTATTTTATATACTTGATCGATTCAAAGTCTTTTGTTCATCTTGTAGGACCACATCATGTTTCTGTGAATAATTTACGCAGAAGTATAATATGTTCCTCTGTACTAGCTTTTTGCTATTTTACTTCATTGAAATAATATCTACCACTGACTGCAATACTTTTGTTTTATAAAAAAAGGAATTTAGTTCATATAAAAGATAAGATTTGGATCGATCGATGATGTATGAATCTGGTAAAAATATTATTATTCTATATTTATATGTTATGTCATTAATATGAATATGGCAGGGACATGGTGGCTTTTACTACTATCATCGTCGGAAGCTAAAAAAGCCCATGTAATATAGGGACGGTTCTGATTCTAAATTCAGTATATTCTGAATTTACCTGAGTTACAAACAATTTTTACCAACTGGCTCTAAAGAGACGGCTCATCAAATTAAGAAAGTTTTTACCGAACTTGTTTGATAACCAGTCAAAATAAATTTGCTTATATCACACGCTCTAGCTCTATTTGTATAAATTAATATAATTTAGGAGAGCCGATGTGGAACCATGAGTACCATCACTATCCCTATGTATTACCGTAATGGTTACTTTTTATTATCTTTTAACTATTTTATATACTTTTTTTTGAATGAAGGTATTTCATCAATCATCACATAATCTAAAATAACTTCTTTAGCTTCCATTTAATATACGTCAACCAGATACATCGCCTAATTTCATATTAACAAAATATTTGCCTGAATATTTTTGAATATGCTTACGAGTTTTGGTTTCACCTTTGTTAATATAAATTACTGGAAATCCTCCTAAATGAGTTTCGCCTCATACCCAAACTTCTTTCAATCATTAAGAGGCTGTAATAAACCAAAGTTTATTTTTTCACT